TGGATGAAGGCTGTCAGAGGCAAATGTCTGAGCCTGAGCAGTTTCACCTCGGAAGTGGTGTTTGTAGCAAACTTGGCACCCCAACGGATTGAGCCTGAGGTTATGGTAGGTTGGAAGAGAAAGAGAAAAGGTGCCTGAGGCTGAAGGAAAATCATTAAAAGGGGCACAAAGTGAGCAGACACCACACATCACTGCGGAGTTGTGTCACAGATCTAATTTTTGCTCTTGCCTTTTTAGTTGCCAATTGTTTCTAACAGTTTCCTGGAAATATTTGGTGAAAGCTCAGACACCTTTTTTAAAGACTCTTGCCACCATCTGTACATCTGTCTCTGGGGCGGGTAAACCTGTCTGTTAAAAAACTTAATGGATTGGAAGGGTTTCCTGGGAAATGAAAGTACTGTAGGTAATGGATTCAGGTGCCAGTGGAGACATCTGCAGTCCATTGACAACTGCAGTGGCATCAATAAGAAATGAAGGAACGGTTTGACACAAGATCTTGACCTTTTACAGGGTCTGGTCCCAAGTCTTTGGCTGTGCTGTAGCTGTGTTTGGAATGTAAACTTGCGTTAACGGCCCCTGGCTGAGTCTCTGTCAGTGGAGGGGGCTCTCAGGAGTCTGGAAGGGAGTGTCTGGTTGGAGCCTGCAGTGTAAACATCGGTGCCAGTGCAAGCTGGGGTGGGGATTGGGCAGCTGTTGTGCCCTTGGGTGTGCTTATGAGAGCATCTGCAGCTTTTGGAAGCACTAGTACCTGCTAAACCCAGCAAAGTGGAAAGGGTGCCATCAGCAGATGGTTCTGCATCTCCTCCAAATCCCAGTGCTCTGAAAGAATTTGTGTCCCTAGTTATCTGTGGGGCAGGGAGATTCCAGATGTCCTGATGTGGTATGCTGGGCGCTGGGGTTTCTAGAAGGATTGGACAGAGAGTTCTCACTGGTTTGAGTTTTAATTTTGGTTCGCGTTAGTGTAGTGCCCAGGACAGATGCCTGTCCTCTCAGCAGGGCAGTCCTCTGTTCCTGCCACAGAGCAGCTCTTTTACCAGTAGCAACTGGGCAGACTTGACTGACAGCCCTGTCAGAGCTTGGTCTGAAGTGACAACCTCTATGGGGGCTGCAGAATCACTGTCCCTGTGTGTTAGCCCCTGGCCTCAGCTCAGCCTGCTCCTGCTTGTTGTCTGGGGGCTTTGAAGGCTTATGCTGAAGATCTTTCACAATGTCTCCTCTCCCTTACGGATGTCATGTTCGAGGACCACCCGTACTTTTAGGTACCACATTCCCTGAAATCACACTGGGAGACTCAGTCTGTGTCCTGTATCATGAGCACCTGATGCCTTGGTAGAAAGGAGCAACATTTTCCTCTCTGCAAAATGCAAAGGAAAGCCATGTTACCTTTCTTTGTTGTGCTGGAGTCTCATGTGAAGCCAAGGTCCTTGTTGACTTTCAGAAACACATATTTGGTGTTGCTTGTCATTTGTCAGTGCCATTTCTGTGGCACAAAATAGAGTCGGAGAATGTCTACCTACTTTAAGAGAAGGAAAATAAATCTCTGCAAGCAAATCTTATCTCTAATGAATCCAGAGCTTTTAGGCTGTGAAGAATTTGCCTGGCATCCAAGCTAACTTTTTTTTTTTTTTTCTTTATCATTAGGCTTCCTTGAACTTTAACTGAACCATAAGGAAACTATGAAGAGTCTCAATAGCTGCCCTGTGAGGATTTGACTTACCCATTGGATCTGCTATTTATAGTGTCCATTAGTGCAAAAATGTCTGTCCTTTTGCAGCAGTCATGTACAGCAAAAGCACTGCTCTTCTGGCGAACTGCCTGTGCCTCCTGTGTCACCCAAAATATCCATCAACAGAGTGTTCAGAAGTGAGCCTTTCTTGATTAAAAAAGCCCAGACAAACAAACAACCCCAAACCCAGAGGCAATTTGTATTTTGTTTTCTTATTTTACATAGCCTGAAATTGAAATTTCCATTTTTCAAGAAGCAACCTTTCACCCCCAGCCATATCTCCCTGTGAAACATAACCTGTGTCCCAAGCAAATTAGGTCAGTAAGAGAGCTGAGAGGGTGGGAACTGTCTTCCAGCTTTGGAGAGCCCATTTGCACCCCAGTACCAGGCTGGGTGTGAAGAAGAATAAATTCTGTAATAGAGGAGACCAGTTTAATGGGGAGTTGTCCTGCCTTTCTGGGAGGTGGCTTACAGTAGCTTGGCTGATGGAGAGCAGGTGACTCGGTGGGTTTCCTTCAAATACGCTCCATGGTACTAACTCTGGTGTGCATTTGCATATTCTATATCTGAAAAATTAATTTGAACAGTTTCTTTAAATTTTCCTACGAAAATAAGCTTAAAAAGTCGATTCTCCTGAGCAGCACTCGATTTGTTCATCTGAGCTAACAGTACAGACTTGATGACATTACTTCTGTCAGTAGTATTAGGATGAGTAGACTCATGGAAATTTTGGCAGAGGGTCACATGTCACATCCTCCAGCTGTAAAGTTGTGTTGGCAGTTGGCGTGGGGACCTCTGGAGCCTTGGTACCCTATGAAACTCTGTGCCATTCTCCATCCTCACCAAAGCTTTCACAGCAACACTCTTCCCTGTTCTGAAAGAGCAGAACGTGAACAGGGTTATACCAAGTAGGAAAGTAGCCTCACAACACAGGGAATTGTCAGGACCTGTCATGATCCCAACAGACCGTTTGTGTCCAGTCCACTGCTCTGCAAGAGCAGCTCCACGTGACAGGCTGGGAGGGTCCACAAGGGCTCTATGCCATGTTTCTCACAAGAGGAAGGAGCCAGGAGGTGCTGAAAAGCACCCCCAACATTCAGCAGGCCTCCATGCAGGAGAAATTTGAAAAGCTTCAAAATGAGTTGCAGGCCCTTGAAAGAGAGAGCTGGGAAGATTGATGGGCTTTAAATCAATATCACTGTTCTTCGGTCCACAGGACTGGCCACATGCATGGCTTGACTGATGGAGTTATGGTGCTTGACTAGATCTACTTAGCAGCAAAGCGGAGTTTCATCTCATACTAGGGGCATGCTGTTGAAAGGGAGGGACAGAGAACAAGAGCTGCCATGCTCAGGGTCCTGCTGAGGCAGGCATCTACATCATATGCTGTCCCTTTCACAAACGTATCGAGCTCCATCTCAAAGCCAGTTGTTTCCTGCTGCGTGGAATAATGCTACAGCTTCACACCCCTAATGGGAAGAAAGCAGCGTCTTCAGATTTCTGGTCTGAATTCATCCTTGGCAGGTGTATACTCATGTATTCTTGGGCTAACGGTGTTTTAAATCAGGTTATTTTTTTCACTGCTTGGTATTTGTTCTGACATATTCCTCCATCTACTCTTGCTGTTTGCAACGGCAGATAAAACTATTGCAGTCACTGCCTTCCTGGCGACTGGTCAGGAGCAAAGTGAGTGGTAAGATATAAATACCAACAATTATCAATGTTCTTTGCCAGTGGGTGGTTTTTTATTTTTATATTTCATTACATGGTTTGTGGAAAAGAGAGATTAACAAAGGTTTTAGACAAACACGACTGTGGAAGTTAGGTCACTTACATCTGTGTTATTTGGGATAAAAAAATGAGCTTTTCTAAAGGACAGACAAGAGGAATAAGTTTCCATTAGAAGTAGAAAGGAATTCTGTAAGCATACAAGCTGTGAGAAGAAATCATCATTATCAATCTAGTGGACAGTATCCCGTGTTGGAGCTGTTGATGTGAAGTTACATGTAGGGCATTGATTTAAATATACTCCCCCTTCCAGCCGGTTGGCCCTTGCCTGAAGGACGCAGTAATGGTGAGCAGAGAGCTTTTACTTCTGCCCTCGGGGTGGTGGTTGATGGGGGCTCTGGTCTCCTGGCAGGAGCAGGAGCTGCCATCTGCCGTTAGAAACCTTGGTCTCCACGGGACGGCTGGAGCAGCACTGGGCTTGCTGCTGTTCTGAGGTGTGTGCCCTGCCGTGCAGCTTGGTGCCATGCCCGGGGCTCTGCTTCCTCTGGGCTCCCAGCACCCTGCGTTTGGAACAGCTCAGCCAGCACCCACAAACAGCTGGAGAGCACAGGGAGTTATTTCCACCACGTTCAGCTACAAGAGGGAGGAAGATGTTGATTAATGAGTAAGAGAGGGGGCTAATACACAGATAAGAAAATGAAACCAGTTTTCTCTGAATTCTTTTGTTCGTGGCCCTGCTGGACCAACTCTTATACCCTTGATTTGCTAGACCAAAGATGCCTAAAGTGCCCTGGCTCCAGATGGGTCCCTGTTCCTGCCCTCCACAGTGAGCCCCCCAGAGCCCCCAGAAGCCTGTGCCTGAGACCAGGGCCTCGGAGCCCAGCCCACCAAACAAATGTTATCCTCTGCAGTCCCTCCCTCTGCATGATATCCAGACCTACTGTTTCAGTAACACTTTGTGGGGCAGTCTATAGGGGTAGGAGGACAAAGTGTATGTTTTAATCATACAGAAATGTTATTTGGCCCTTCTCTTTCAAGCCCCTCATCAACATAGACGTTTGTCTGGGAAGTGTCTTTAATGCATAGTGCTGAGGAGGAAACATCATCCTAAGTCCATATAAGAATGCAGCTAACTTCATGTATTAAATGTCAAGAAATCCCATTACTCAGCTGGCCGTTCCACCCCTGTTTGCAAAACGGTACCTGGAAAAAAAAAAAATTCTAGGCATTTAATAAATGAGCATCTTAAAATTTTGCATTTGCTGCACATTATCCTTATCAGAAAAATCATTTAATAAGGAAGCTTTGTGCATCTTCCTGCAAAAACTGAAGTCCTGTTTTTTATAAATGCTCAGCATTTTCCACTGAGATCTTTGGAATATTTGGTCCTTCTCTTTTATTTTTAATGATTTGCTTATATTTCAGGTAAAGAATTACCTTTTAAAAATGGATTAGGTCAGCCTCCATTTTTTTATTATTTAAGCTAATCTTCATAACTTTAAATCATTATTTTCTTTGTTTTTTCTAACTTTTGCTGCTGCCACAGAAGAAGTGTCTGCGAGGATAGTACAAGTAGTAACAGCTGAAGCTGTAGCAGTCCTGAAAGGCGAACAGGAAAAAGAAGCCCAGCACAAAGATCAGCCTGGACCACTACCTTTAGGTAAACCAAAATAACACTCAAAGTGTTCTTGTGCCTGCACATGTTTTATGTATCTGTATTACAGAAAGCAGTTATGGTTACAGCTCTCTGTTCACATGGGTTATGGCCATGGGTAAGCTGCAACCCCACTGGATCAGTGCTGGAACCAACTAATGGCAGTATCGCTGTTGCCCCTGTTCTTCACAGACCTGTGACTGTCTCATCCACCGTTTGCTCTCACAACATTCTCCACCTGGTTTCTGACACCTGAGCAGCACAGCTCTGAATGTAATTGGTGGTACTGGATTTGTCTTCATGTTTGGTGGGACCCAGCAGTACTTGGTGCCCCTTTGTGTTCAGTCATGTACAGTGCTGAGAGGGAAAGATTAGTGGCTGAAGAGGACAAGGTTAGAGGAGAGGCCTATGAAAAGAAAGTGAGGCTTTGATGGCTGGGTGGTAGCTACTCAAAAAGATGGAGGAGGAGCAGTTCAGCAGGAAGCAGGAAGGGGGCACACTGGGTGAGGGTGGGAGGAGGTTTAGCAGCCAGACAGGGTGAGGGGAGGTTGTGGGAGAGGGAGCTAGGTGTGTTATAAGCAAATGCTGGTTCTCCAGGCTGGGGATGTTGCTGCCACCACTGGTCCATGCTGTGCCCCCATCCTCTGACTGGCTCCTTTGTGAAATGTCTCTGAAGTACAAGTATATGTGTGTGTGTGTGTGTATATATATACACGTAAGTATACGGCCATTTATGGCTAAAGTGCTTCCTCCCACTCAGGAAGGTTCCACAGCACCTCTGAGCACGTACACCAAGGTCCAGGGAAGGGCGACACTCCGTCCTGAGGCAGGGCAGCTCCTGTAAGCCTGCCCAGGGCAGGTTCTGCCGAGCACACGTACACTGTGATCAAATCAAAATAACGCCCCACAGGCACTCTGCTTTGTCTGGAACACTGGCTGGACCCTGCTTAGCAATAAATTAAAGTCAATCAGTAATTTAGAATATTTGTTGGAAATTCTGTTCCCAAGGTCTTTCGCTTCATTGAACTCATTTTGAACTGCGGCAGGGAGATGTGTTGCTTGGTAATTCCCTCAAGAGACTCAATTTTACATGGAATCCCCCAGTTCTGCAAAGCACTTTGTACACATTTAAGCACAGGTTGCTTCATGGGTCCAAATGGATATTTGGTTCTGTCTAGTTAGATAAGACACTTAAAAAAATATCATGAGAAGTGTGTCTTCAATTCGTGACTGTTGGTGTTGCAGTTCCTGTGGTCAGTGACTGTTCAGTGAGTGTGGGTGGAACTGCATTGTGGTGAAGATACAAATACTCCATCCCTGGACAGCGCATCTGAAGGACAAGTCCCGTAAGGGTCTCTTCCAAACCACACTGAAATAAGTAGAAGGAGGCCTGGCCATTTCTGCTGGGGCTTTGAAGCTGGCTTTTCTATGCTTGGGAAGAAGCCCTGGATCAGAAACTGAGATCTGCTGTTGAGAAATGCCATTTATAAGACAGATTTGTTAAAACAGATTTGTTACCTTTTTTTTTTTTCTTTTAAACATTGCTTAAGCTGTGGTAGTGGATCTGTTTTTAAAGGAAAAACATTGTCAAAGTGATTGGTATGAAAACAGATGCTGAGGTTATGCCGAGTTCATTTAAGAAGCAGTTTGTTTAGGATTTCATTGTACCTGAGTTGAAATAATTGAAAAAACCATCACCTGGTTTCAGCATCCAGTCTCTTGACTGGGAATGAATCTAGAACCTAGTCTAAGTGCATCTAAGATTTCATGGTGCCTTGCTCAACTTAATCACTATGATGTCGTGGCAGACATAAGTTCCCAGTGCTGATGTCTTTTGTATTTAGACAAGCAGTATTTGCTTGTGTTCTGCGGTTAACCTTGAACTCAGCAGAAGACAAAAAAATGGCACAGAATGTTTTTTATTCCTATACTCAGGCTAAATTGAAGAGACTGGATGCCATTTTCTGATAATCAGCCTGAATTTATAAAATGCCTCATGCTCAGATGCTTTATTGTTGTTGCCTAAGGTGAAGGTTTTCTAAGGAGCAATACTGATTTAAAAGATCATTTCATACTTGAGTTTTGTATTGTGCTCTATGACCAGAATATTGAAAATAATTCATACTATCTGGAAAAAAATTCCTTTCATTATATCTTTTAAAAGCCATGTATTCTAAAAGGGTCTGTCTGAAAATCCACTAGGCACAAGTCCCCATCAAATGATTCTCTCAGCTGGGCAGAACAGGCTGACTGCAGCTGGTATCAAGCATCGGTCTCACTGGAATTAATTCATTGCCATATCTCATTTTCACTGTTCAATTATCTAGCAGTCGAAGAGTCAGCCAACCTGCCTCCTTCCCCGCCTCCATCGCCAGCTTCTGAGCAGACTGGAGCTCTGGAGGAAGGTAAGGGTCTCCTGGACGTTGGGGTGCACAGCTGTCATCAGAAGCATGAGACGTGAATCTAAAGGATGGGGGAAATGAGGACATGGAGATACTTGCTGCACCTTCATGTGAAAAGATAAGGCATTCTCCAGCAGTAACTCCCCACCTCCAAACCAGCTGCAGTGCATGGATGAGGTAGACACATATGCACAGAGGTAACTGCCAGGATATGCTAAGGACATCCCTATTAGAGAGAAAAAGGAGGTGATGCTCACTTTTGAATCTGTTACGTGCAATATGAGCCAAGACGTCTGCTGTCCCAGTGTGGCCAGCAAAACTATGGTACAGTGAGGGTCATCTTTCTTTTCTTAGGATTTGTTTGGCTGCTTTTTTTTATGACCATTAGCTTTGATTTGGGAATCTTAAATGCATGAAAGCAAGGAGATTCAGAGTTGGATCATTTCTTTGGTCTTTTAATTCATGCTTCAGTGCCTACGTGAATTGGGGGTTCTGCACACAGCGTGCAGGAGTCAAACTCGAGTCTCACAAAACAAATTTCTACTCTGTTCTGCACAACGAACATTGAATTCCAGTAGCCCATGATCGCTGTGTTCTCCTCCTGCTAAAAACCCCTCCAGCAAAGAACTTCAGCGTTAGCTTAACCTTAAGCAGAGGCCTAAATCCCCGCGAAGCCGCGGCAGCGGTGAGTGTGCACGGCAGCGCTTCGTTCGACCGCGCCTCGGGGCCGCCGGCACGGGGAGACAGCAGGGGAGAGAACCCAGCCGTGTCTGGGGAGAAGAGGGCAGGATTTGGGTCCAGAACCTCCAGGGGACTGTCTGTTGAACTCTGCCATATCAACAGCATTTTTACCTGTCCTTTTATTTCCTTCTTGGATTTTCTTTTAGCATTTTTTCTTTCTTTTTGTTTGATAAGTGCATGGCAATAATTTCTTATCGTTTGCTGAACAGACTTTGTTGGCATTTTAACACAGAGCCTCTATTAATTTTTCAAGTGGGCCGTTGCTATTTCATGTGCTATCATGGTCTGATTCTCAGTTTATCAGGCCACTGCAATTAGGCATGTTCCATCCTGCGGTCATTTTTGAGATAATGCAATTACAGGCTGTGTTAGCAACAGTATTTGTCAGTCAGCTGTACTGGAAATGCCTACTAGATGTGGTTAGTAATCAACATAAAGAATTGGATTAATTGATTGGGTTTTTTTAAAAAACATGTGCCCATTGTGTTATAAAAAAAAAATTATACAACAGTTCCTAGATTCGTCACCCAGAGGTAACAGCAATCAAATCTACTAACTGAAAAGGAAGCTCGTAGGGCATTAGCAAAGGCTTTCAGAACTTTTACTGGAGTTTTATCATTACTTTTTAAGATATAGTTTTCTTGATTGCTTCAGCATATGCTTCTTGATTTTTCGTATCACAATGAAGGGCTTGTTCTTCTGCTTCAGGCCAATGTCACGGTTCTTCCATTTCCCTTAGCTGAGGATTAGCTTTGCTTTTTCCTAAACCAGTTCTATTAGCAGTATTATTTGTACGTATTTTAGGATTTTATAAAGTAGTTATATTAACTAATGGACAGGAGGTTGTAGATTGCCCCAGAAGCAAATGGAAACCATTTTACTAGTTGTCCTAACACAAGAAGGTGGCAAAACACTTTACAAGTGGAGGTTGTTATGAACCAGCTGACTGTGCTGTTCACAGCTGTGCATATGACTCAGCAAGTCACTTAACATAATTTTTTCTCTTTCCTTGCATGTAGAATTGAGTTAATATAATAGCACTTATTAACCTGCCCCACAGGGGTGGTTACAAGGATCAAAAGGTCAGTGTCTGGGAGATGTTTTGGTGATTTACACAATGCCACAATTTTTAAAAACTTTCACATAATTTCTTTTAATGTTAGTCAAAAGAGACTTTTTCATGACAAGATTTTGATTCAACTCTTCATTTTTCAGAGCAAATGGCCTGTATAAATCCTAAAAGTGTAGGTTTGTAAAGAAAGTATGGGCAGAAATGATGTGCTGAGTCATTAATGCACTCTGCTGGAAGCTTCTTGTTTATGTCTGGCTCTGAAACAGCAACTTACAGTAGAGTTGGCTGATGAACAGAAGGAACTTCTTGAAAAAAAACCTCACCAGAAGGATATTATTTTGGTTTTTTTCCCCAAAATATCAGTGCTGTTAATTCAGTCTAGCTAATGATAGTAAAAAAATCTGGTGTTCTTCTCTTTATTAGAAGATGTGGTCCTTGTTTTCTGTGGGTAAGTTGAGCTTTTGCTGACTTGAGTGAGCCAGACCTGTCATTTTTATTCAGGGAAAGCTCCCATTCAGAAGAGTTTGTCTCAATAGGGCATGACCCAATTTTACTGTACTTGTTTAAACCTTCCATTCCCTATACCATCTGGTTCTCCATCCTCATACACCTTTATGTTGTCTGTCTGCCTTCCTGCTCAGTAGAATACAATTTGTGCATTTTACCCAGTTCTACAGTTGTTGAGCAAAAAAGGCGAGCGCTTGGTGTGTGTATCTACCTCAGACCTCCTTACCCCACCCCCCTGAAGATTTTCCTAATGCACTTGTCAGTGTGTGTTGCATTGCTTTGAGTCCGAAAGAGACTTCCTTCAGTCATAGTAGGAAGGAAATCACTGTTGTAGACATGACAAAGGTGGATGTGGCCAGCCATGCAGCAAACACAAATTAAAAGAAAAAAAAAGGTAGAAAAGACAGAGAGGTTTGTGGGTCAAGTGTATTTCGTGAGAGAAAGGAGTCGGTGGATGTAGGTTTCTTTCTTTCATTTGGCTGCAGAAAAACATTCAAATGAGCCTGTCCCTTTTTACTGCTGCAGAAGGTAAGATAACTAATTTGCCTTATTGCAATGATTTCATTTATTTCAACTATGGTAACATAATTTTGATCAGGAAATGAAATTTTCCCTAGCACCGTCTAATCCTTTTATCAGTTGTATCTGGTCATGCAGGGCTGATGTGATATTCTCTTGCCAACTTGGCATTTCTTTAGTGCTCTGTGCCTTTGACAATAGTCCTCGGGTAAAAATTTTGAAAATGTTTCAAGATAGAAGAATGCCTTTTATGGACTGTCTTCCATTTTGAAATAGCCATTTCAGATTAGGCTTTATATGCCAAATAAGAATGTTTTTCAAACAGAAGGGAACCAAGTGTCCTATAAATACGGATCTACTTACAGTGAAAATTACTTCTTGAAAGACGTTTTCAAAAGCTACCTGGAAACTGAAGCAGAATTAGGCTGTGTGAGAAGTGGTTTTAATCTTCAAAATACATTGGGGATTTTTCCCACGCTTTGAGATAAAAAAGAACTATTAGAAGGGACTAAAATAACAAAGAAAGAATTTTTCTTGTTTCTAGAATGAAAGCATATCCTCCTTTACAGGTGTTTTTATCCTGTTAATGAAATTATTTGCATTAGCTTTGAAAATATCTTGATTAAAACTGATAAGTAATGTAAATTCGTAACAGCCTCAAACAGTGCTAGACTTTGCACTCCTCATGATTGTGGGCCATCACAATAATATGTATTAAGCATTTTTACTGGTGTTACTTACTGTGATTTTAATGAGCAGAGGCAGGGCCTGTATTACCTTGCCTACAATCCATTCAGAGGCTATAACTAAGGAATTTTCAGTCTTGTTTGCATCAGTGTAGAGATATCCCAGGGTTTCAGCTTCACTGTTGTTGATGCATTTTTTTTCTGAATAGTCTCTGGATAAATATGAGCTACAGCTGGAAGGAGAACATCCCCTTTTGCAAATCCTCCTTTTCTGTGCTTTGCTTCTGACCATATCAGCCTTCCATTCTTTTCTCCTCAATGTCCCAGTTCCAGCAGAAGGGGTGGCAAGTGTGTCAACAGTTTCCACTCTTGTCCACAGTAATACATGGACTATTGTGAGGACACCCTGCAAAGAAGCAGGAGTTGTAGTTTTGCATCTTCTCAGGTTTAGAAGGGAGTTGATTCCTGGTCTCACATGTGGAGACCTGTCCTCACCCCCTGTCACTAGCCACAAACCCTAACCCTGGCCCTGTCACAAACCACAAACCACAAACCACAACCCCCTTCAGATCTGTCACTGAATTACCTAGAAGCTTCTGTGGAGAAGACATCCATGGGTTCTGCATTGCAAGTGGATCAAGATGCTTGCCTGCAACCTTGCTGCTGGCTCTTAAGCCTTAGGGGAAGTTGGGAAGCTCAGGTACAGCCCTGTGTTTAGTGTGTCTTATTGCAGTGCTCTGCAGAGCATCCTGCTTGACAGAAGAAGGTTGCTGACTTATCTTTCCACCTGCCTCTTTCAAGCACGCATAAAACCCTGAATCTGGCATTTGGATTCCACTACAAGAGTGAAGCAACTAAATTATCCGTTCTTCAGGCACACATTGTGTCCTGAAAGAAATTGGAGCTGCTAGTGTTACCTTCAGTGAATAATTCTTCCTCTTTCTTGTGGGTGATTGAGCCTGAGTGGTTTGATACTCCAGCACTCTTTTCCCAGATGGAAGAAATACCTGTTGTTACATTACAGGACACTTGCTGCCACGTTGCTCCAGAAAACAGGATGCTTTTCTTAAAGACACAGATGTTATCTTGTCATGGTGTGCTATAGAAAGAAATGTAAAACTTACTGTTATTTACGAGGAAGAACCTTAGAGCTCTTATATATAGATGGGAAAGGTTTAGATAAAAGCTGCTTTCCAAGGCTTGGGTAATGGTAGTTACAGCAGCTTTCATAAGTCGTTATGGTTTTAGGTCACACAGAGAGATCTGGTTAGTATCTGATACATGGGATGTGTTAAAGCTTTGCTTTCTGACTCAGTGTTTTGGATCAGAGAGAAAAGTTTTGAAGGCTCTAGGGAAATGCTTTAAGTTTTAATTGCCTGGAGAAAGGCCAGGGACACTGGGCATGGGCTTGTTCTTGAAGCTAGCAGGAAATCCAATGGGATAGCTGCAGCTGCTGAAGGCACCCCATGAATGTAGTG